TTCACCTCGGTTGGTAGTTCTAAAGTTCCATAACCTGCGCTCAAAATCTCTTTAAAGATCATTAGTAGTATTGTGTGTTTTGATGCAATAGCTTTTCTAACATGACCAGTTTGAACAAGAAAGTTTGGTTTAACAATCGTTTCTTTCTCCTCAACCATTTTCATTTGTAAATCATGCACTTGAGCAGGAGTGAGAGGAGCTAAGCTAACCTTGTGTTTATTATGCATAAAAGTATACATATTAGTTATACCACCATACTTAGTTTCTCTATCAAACTGCCATGGCCTACCTAACAGTAAATGACCCGCTTGCATAGGAACAACATCACAAATGACTTGATCTTGGTATCTACCAACACTAAAAGGTATAGTGACTTGATCACTGACTTTAAGCTCTACCTTATCATCGAGCCACCTTAGCCTATAGGGTCGTGGGTGTTTAGTTCTCTCAAGGCCAAGCTTTTCAACCATATGAGCGCTTGCAACATTGGTGCAAGAACCACCATCAATTATAAGATTACATACATTGCCTTTAATGGTGCAACGGGTATGAAAAATGTTTTCTCTCTGAATGACTTCGGTTGGCTCCACCATGGTACTAAGAATGCGCCTTGTGACAAGAAGTTCTCCTGAATCAGGATACTCAATATCTCCAAACTCGTCGAGTAGTTCTACATCAGCTTCGTCTTGGGATTCATACTCTCCAGCCTCGGTTAAGAGCATGACTCTTTGGTTGGGGCATCCTCTCGCCATATGTTCTCTTCCCCTAAACTTAAAGCAAGTTATATCTCTAGATCGTTGGGGTTATTAGGCTTACTTGCTTCTGTACGGTTGTCTTTGGAGGGTTCTGAAACTTTTCCCTTGTACCGCGAGTCAAATCTCAATGGCATTGCCCTTATCCATTGGCTTGTTTGTATTTGAGTTCCAAGGGTTTTGAGGTTTGCTTCTGGTGTTCACCGTCTTTCTCTTGATGTGTTGTTAAGCTTGTATAGAAAGGTGAAAAATATCTTTGAAATCTTGATAGGCTTGTCTATCCACCTTACGGCTGATTTTCTCTTTTAATCCATCTAGAAACTGTGCCATTAATGCTTCTTCATCGTCGTGCAACTCTAAATGGTTCCTTAGACGCTCAAATTCCTCATAGTATTCCTCCACTGACCTAATTCCCTGTTTAAGAGAACGAAACTTGCGTTGTAAGTCTCTATGGAAATATGGTGGAATGTACCTTTGTCGCATGATGTCCTTCATGTCGATCCAAGAATCAATGGTTCTCTGGCGATTTCTCCTACGGTCAGCTACCGTTCTGTCCCACCAAATGAGAGCATTGTCTGTGAGTTGAGCTACGGCTAAGGCTATCCTCTTGGGACCGGAGTGATTGTTATACTCAAAGATATGATCCATTCGCTTTTCCCATTCGAGATAAGCCTCATGGTCAACTTTACCAGCAAAGTGTGGCGCGGTAAGTTTGATGTTGTTGTGATTTGGCCTCTGGTTAGGTATATAGTCATCATCTTCTTCGTGTCCATATTCATCTCTTGGCTGTCGCCTTCTACATTCGTGGTCATATCGGGGAAGTGGTTCTTCTTCCTCTTCCTGGGAATCATTGGCATTTCTCTGACCTCCATAGACTGGTTCGTTGATATGTATACTATTACGCCTTGGATTGGCTCTGTTTGCTTGCGTGGTGCCAAAGGCATTGTTGTTGCCAAGCCGCCAACGTTTCTATCAGGTCGTAAGGGGGCTCGTGAGGTTTGCTCTACACGGGTGAGCCGTTCTCCCATCTCTTGCCTAAAGGCTTGAAATTCCTCCCTCATCATGGCCATCATTAGAGTGACCGGATTCTGTGCATTGCTTGATTCTTCGCCCATGTCTCTTAACCAGGGGTTGTTCTATAGCCGAGATACTCAGGATATATGAACGATGGAATGGTGAATGATCAAGCGGGCCGATTGCTCGACCAATGGAACGGGCGGGTAGAACCGGATTGTTAAGCGGGACGAGTGATTTGGTCGTACCGTCGAGATACTCAGACAGTCTGACCGGGGGTCGAGCGTGGAGAATAAACTAGAGCCGGTGGGTCGAAGTGTACCACAAAGGTTATGGGAAATCTTTTGATACAACACGCAAACACTCTTATGATTATGAGGTACTGGTCTCACAAAATATTAAGAGCAAGATCACAAGATTGATTTATAATCTTGAAGAAAATTTAGTATTTTATTAATCAAAAGCTAATGATACACTGCTGTGAAAGGGGGCTTTATAAACTAGTCCGAACAGCTATGCTCTTCTAGGGGTCTTTGGAAGAAAAATTACAGTAAAGAAATCAGGCTAACATTTGCCTTAGCTAGTATACGAAAATTATCATAAATAAAAATAAAAATCAAGGGCTAAACTTATGCTGCATTCACCAAAGAAAGAATAACTTGCTTAGTCAAAATATAATTAAAATAAATTGTAACACTTACCTTCTTTGTTTGCTCGTCCATGGTTTTGGGTTTAATGCGAATAGTAACTCTCCTTTTGATGTTTATTACTGTGGCTTTGACTGATGTGAATCCTTTCTTTTAGCAGCTTTCTTCTTGGGCTTCTTGTGTGACCGTAAATACATTGTAGATTCCTTGAATTGAAAAGAATGGCCAGCTACCTTTGTTTGTTGAAGTTGGGCTGGTTTCTCTTTCTTCTAGTAATCCGCTATAAGCTTGTGAAATAGATGCGAAGTCCTTTTGGTCCGCTTGAAGTATAGCTTGCATAATAGTTTGATTATATTTATGTTGTAGCCCTTTCTCTGGTTATAGCCCCAGTTGGTATTTCGATGATTTGTCCAGTTCTATATTGATATCTTCATCATTTCGTGAGGCTATCCCCCGAGCATCTTTCATCCTTTGGCTCAAACTAAAGAGGCGACTTCCAACAAGGGATCGACTAAGAAGATGGAGGATGAATGTCTCCCATTTATGCCCCTTTTGCTTGACGAAGGAGGAAACGCACAGACATTTGTTCTTTGCTTGTGCCTATTCTAACGCTGCTTGGCATGCTTTTGCTTCGAGGATCTTCCACACAAACTCACCATCTACCATGGATGAAATCTTGAGCAGTTTCTCGGCTCCGCCGCTCTCTACCTCCAGAAACCTCTCCATTATTATGAAGCTTCTTCTTTAGGTAATTGTCTACGCTCTGGGGCGGGAGCGGAATACAAGGATCTTCGCAGCAACTTCAACTCCCCTAGCTATCTTCAAGGCTAACGTGGATCGAACAGCTTTGGATCGCCTCATCTCCTTCCCGGCAATGGGTAGCAATCCTTCTCTCCTAGAATGTTACTTTGGTTGTATCTCTCATCCGTTATAACTATAACTTTTGCTGCCTTCGTTCCACTAGAGTAAGTCTTGTAAAGGGTAAGGGTTTTCTTCTTTTCTCTATGTAATTTTTCTTTCTTTCGTTTATGGTAATAAAATCTAAACATTAAAATCAAAAAAAAAAAGTGAGAAACCATGACAACAGACAACCCTACGAAGCACTAAACACTACGGCGAAGGTATTGTATATTTCCCATGAAGTTATAATCAGGAAAAACTTACTTATTGTAATCCCAAGTGATAATCGACTTGGAAAATCAAGAATTTTTTTATTAGAAAGCTGGAGATGTGGGATTGAATGGAAATGGTATGGTTGGTAAAGTGCACGCCATGTCGAAAGGTCTGAATTACACAAGATATATACTCATTATTTGGAGGCTATGAATCTAATTAAGGATGCTAGAGATGCGTTGAGTCCAAGGGAGGAGGGGCTTAAGAGCAAGAAAATGATGATTATATATAAAGATTTTTGAATTGTTTTTTTTAAATGATTGCTATGAATTGAACGTGATTTAACATCTGGTTTCCAGCATATGAGAAGTTTGGTAACTTCAACATTGAGTCAGAGTGCCAATTGATTGTGCATATTACATATTCTCATAGAATTTGAAGCAAAACATAGTTGTATAGTTATATAAAATGTTTTATTTGCTAATTTTGATTTAGAATCTATTAGATCAAATGGTCATTTAGCAAGTTTATATGTTTTTGAGCTCAAGGTTCGAGTGTGCTCTTTCACAATTTATTGGTTTAAAATTTAGTGTAAAAAAAATCTGTTAGAAAATACACATGTTATTGGGAGATGGATTTATAAAATTCTGATTGATTCTAAGAATTGAAAGATTTGTTAAATTTATTAAAAAGATTTGTTAAATTTGGAAAGAGTTTGTTTATTTAGAAAATCTATGAAAATATTTTATTATAATGACTTTGAGAATCTAAGCCATATAGGTAATATTTTGAAAGTTTTCCAAAATCTTGTTCTATGAGTTAAATTGTTTAATATTCATATCCCAATAACACAAGATTTTAATAGAATCATAAAATCTTTAAAAGCCAAACTTTTTGAATAACAAAAGATTTTGGATGAAATTTTAAAATCTTTAAACCAATAACAATGGATTTTAGTAAGATTTTAAGAATCAAAAAACCAATAATTATGGAATCTCAAAATTCTCAAAATCTATATAAATCTCTCTCCCAATAACCCCCTTATACGGTGATTGATTATATAGGAGGATTATATTGCGGGTTGACCTAAATTTGATGGTTTGAGTTGCATTTTTGTAAATAGAGGGCAAAGTTGCAAAAATAAATTAGTTAGAGTTTTTTTTTTGCAGAAAGCCCTTTCAGAATTCAAAAATAAGAGATGCTTCAGTTTATATATAGCATAAATTGCTGATGATCCGATAACACAAGCTGAGTGTCTGCGGTAATTTCGAATATACTTTAAGACAAGAGACAAAAAAAGGAATGCCTAGTACATACATTGCCATTTAAATCTTTGATATAATAGTAAAAAGAAAATGAAATACAGGATAAAGTTCAAGAGGTACGGATTTTATGATTTCGACAAATCGTTATTGAAAAAAAAAACCAAATTATTCAGAAAAGAGTTTGGTGAAAAAGAATGAAATCAAGCTTATTCATAGACTTTGCATTCCTCATCGGCTGGGTTTGTCTTGCAGAAATCTTCCAAAGGGTCTCCGCTCCCAGCAGCTACCTCTCCCGGCCACTTGGCGGCCACTAGGTGAGCCAAATCCACTACTCTTTGACTGTCATTAAATTACACATTAATTTAGACATTAATTGTTTCATACTCTATTTGCATGTCGAAGGAGAGAGTTTAACAACAACAACAAAAAATGTCGAAGGAGAGTTTTTATACCAAAAAAAAAAATTAATTAGGTAAATAACATTTTCAGTAAACTTATTTGCAAAATGATATAGTAGTGGTAAGTCGTAAATAAATGTAGGTTTTTTTTTCTTTCTTGCACTTTTAATCAAATAGTATGACTTTTAATATGACTTATTTGCAAAATTAATATGACTTTTATTAAAACAAGTCCTTCTAAAAACTCACATTTTTAAAACATTACATGTTTTTAACTTTTCAAAATACAAACGGAAACTTCAAACATAAAGAAAACCTCTTATGTTTACTTTTACATTTGACATTTGTATTTGCATTTAACAAAACGTTTTTGTTTAAAAACTAAAAATTTGAGGGCTCGTTTCTTTAAAAAAACATCTAGTAGATGCAAACGGAAACAATTCAAACTTATGAATGCGTATAAGTGGCAATGTGTCATCTTACCTGTAACCCCACTCGTTGTCATACCAAGCGACCACCTTGACCATATCATCACCCATGACCATGGTGAGGGAAGAATCAATGGTGGTTGAAACATCAGAGCACCTGAAGTCACAAGACACAAGCGGTGTGTCGCAAACGTCTAAAATGCCCTTAAGCGGTCCAGCGGCCGCTTTTCTGAACGCCTCGTTTACGTCCTCCGCGGTCAAATCTTTCTTTTCAACGTTTATAACAAGGTCAACGACCGAGACGTTTGGGGTCGGCACACGGAGTGCAATACCGTTGAGTTTACCCTTCAGCTGCGGTAGCACCAACGACACGGCCTTGGCTGCACCTGTACTGGTCGGTACTATGTTCAGCGCTGCGGCTCTTGCACGCCTTAGGTCCCTGTGTGATGCATCTAGAAGCCTCTGAAATATTGCAATATACGTGTGTTACTATTGTTTAGATTGATGTATAGGGGGTTACACTAGACACTAGGGTAACATTTCAATGCTTTGTATAATACAAGTAGGAGTGTTCAATCTAGATCAACCGACCCCAAATAAACTATACGTGAATCAAACCATTTTTTAATATTGTTAATATGGATTTAAGTTGGTTTAGTGTATTCGAAAAAACCAAAACCATGTCCAAACTGAAATCATGCAAAACTTAATTTGTTTTACAACTAATGATATATTTGTTTGAGAACGAAACCAAAACTGAATCAAACCGATCTATTCTAGATTTGATTATGCAAAGACCAAGAATTTGAACCGAAACCTGGATTGAATTACTCTTATGTTAGGTTTCTACTTAGATACCAAAACCAAGTCCGAACTTAAATGCAAAACTTAGTTGTTCAAGAACCAAAACCAAAACTGAATCAACCCGTTTTATTCTAAATTCGATTATGCCAAACCAAGAATTCGAACCCAAACCTGGATTGAGTACTCCTAAGTTTACTAAGAATTCAGGCAATCTCTCTTCTTCTAGGTTTCTACTTGGATACACGCACAAAGATCGAATCGTATAATAAGTAAGTGCATAATATATTACTTGGTCTCCGGTGTAGGAATGTGTCGTCGTCATTGTCCCCTTGACAATTCCTGTAATTCAGTTGATTGTATATATGAGCTAAGAAACCATTTTCAGCATATAATGAACAGAGAAAAGCAGTGTTACCAAATTCTTCATCTAAAACTTTAGCAAACGGGGCCAAACAGTTGGTGGTGCAAGATGCATTGCTGCCAAAATGAGAGGGAAGTCACAACCAAAAATGAAGCATGACTATTCAAAAACTAACTCTTGTCTTAATGAAAATAGTTTTGTTTAAACGGACCTAATGATGTTAGCAACGTCATGACCATAGTCTTGCTCATTGACTCCAACAACATAGGTTGGAATATCAGCGCCTTTGGCTGGTGCGGTGATGATCACTTTCGAGGCTCCAGCTTGAATATGCTTCCCTGCTCCTGGTCCATCAACAAACACTCCTGTTCCCTGATCATAACCATATACCATTTATATATCTTTTCCACAAATTAAGTTTCTTTGCGCGATTTTGCCATTATATCATTAGAACATTCACCTCGATGACGATGTCAATGCCGAGCTCAGCCCATGGAAGCTTAAGAGGGTCTCTGTTTGAGACGACTTTGATGAACTTACCATCAACACTGATAGTTTCGTTGTCGACAATTTTCACATCAGCCTTGAAGGTTCCAAGCATAGAGTCATACTTCAGCAAGTGGGATGCCTACACGATTTCATTAACGTCAAAATATGTTCAAAAAGAGCAAAGCCCTTTTTTAACACGTGCAAGTGAATCAATAAAACAGGATCCGAACGCAAATACAAAATTGTTTAACGATATATGTATATTAGAGTTCATATTTTGTTTCAAAAACTATTTTAACATATTAAGTATACCAATAGTTTAAGACTGTGTTAAAAAAAGACAGATCACATTGATAACTTTTATTACGAACTTACGTTCTTGACACCACCACTGTCGTTAAGCACTACAACATCGAGAGGAGAGTCCTTGCGACCGTGCCAGCACCTGAGGAAGTTCCTACCAATCCGACCAAACCCGTTAATCGCAACCTTCAGTTTCGCCACTGTCTCTCCTCTGACAGGAGTGGATGTTGTCGCAGCCTAATATTGACACAAACTCATGATCATATTGCACATTTATAACAATAAAGTTGATTGATCAAATAAACCAATCTAAAAGTCACCTTGGGGGTTATTTGTGTAGCTATGGCATCAAAGAAAGATGCTTCCACACCGTTATTGCTAACTCGCAGACCGGAGAATTCAGCCACTTCCAGCCTCTGTGTAGAATAGCGAAAAGAGAAAACAGATAAACCAACCGTAGCACGCACACACACACATACAGACGCACATATGCTACGTTACCTTGGAGGAGCATTGAGCAGGGAAAGAATGAATTGCACTCTTAGACTGCAGCCTCGGTTTCACCGGGATTCTTGAGACGGCGAGAGCTGAATGTGTGGCCATAGCTGCAAGTGAAACAAGAAGAATAATGCAAGGAGTGCCACTAGATTTTTGAGCATTGGCATATATACATGCATCATCACATCTCCGATTATGATCAAAAGCAACCTATGGTTCAAAGTGAAGCAAATGAATATGTGGTTATTATGTAGGTAAGATACTATACGGATAAGATTGTGTTAGCCATTGGTTAATACTTAATAGTTATCAGATTTTTGTTTCCATGACACATGTATTTTCCCTTTTTGAGGAACATAGCTTAGAATCCGGAAATTAAAGTGTCTCAATAAAGTTGGGTTTTGCATAGTTATTATAATATCATTCAACACGGTTTTAAGAAAAACAGGGCACAAGGCCAATGGTTTGAAAAGTTGTACAACATTACACAGAAACAGCAAATAATTATTAGGATCATAATAAGTAATCACCCGTGATTTTCAAATTCTAAAACAGATCATTGATTATTCAGGCTGTAGCCTCGACTTCATCAGTGGTTAAAGCTGCGCCGTTCGGAGTATCTTCCGATTTGAGCTGCGAGGATACATCGTCGATAGCGGAGTTGAGCTGTGCGATTTTCTCAGCCAGTACCTTTCGGGTTTTCTGCATTAACAGTACACAGTATTGATTACTAGAACACTCATTCATGTGAAGATATAGTGATTACTACAACTCACCTCCAAAGCTTTTTCCTCATCATATATGAATTTAGGCAATTTCCTCATGAGATCCTTTCGGTCTGCTCCAGCTATAGCCTTGCTGATCTGATATAATTGACAAAAGTAACGTTACACATTGGAGCATCATAGTCAAAGCTCTAAGAGTGATCAACTAAACCGTGTGAAACAGAGAATATCAACCTGTGGTGCATAGACACATCCGAGGGCACCGACTATGAGTCCACCCAAAATAAACCCTCCGACAAATAGGCCTGTGCTGCCTGAACTGTCATCATCTCTGCTAAAGATTTGATACCATTAGACATTGCAAATGGTCTGTTTTTACATGAGTTGCCATTAGAAACGTTAAGTAATAGTAAATGATATTCCGGGTGTGGAAATGTTTAAAGTGAAACAATCGAGAAGAACAAGAACATTTAGGAGGAGCAAGAACAGCATCTTATGATTGACTAACAATGGACATCTCAAGCAATACCAAAGATTGGTATAAATTTTTGTTATCTTTCACCAAAGCCCAAAAAAATAAAAATAAAAAGAAGAGAATTAACTCCTTTACCTGTATGCTGATTGAATAGTTAAGATCCTTTTGCGTCTAGGAGCAGAAAAATGCAGTTTGTTGGAACGATTCGGTCCAAAAGAAACACTGACACAATGGGCACTTGGCTTCAGCGAAAGACCTAGCATTAGAACGAAGAGACGTCAGCGAATCGATAGAGAGAAAGAGATGGACACTCAAGAAGCTACTCCCGGTTTGAAAAATCATAGACTTATGTATCTGCAACAAAAGATGTCAAGTTGTCAACAGGATTCAACGAAATCTTGAAAAAATAAAACAAACACCAAGAATGTGTTCACTTTCACAATATGAAATGATTGAAGAAAATGAGCTCCACACTTCAATCTAAACCAAAACTCTTAAATGGGTGTGCGATGTACACTAAAACATGCCAATGGAAGCCACAACTGGAGACTGAAGAAAGTGAAATCAGTAACAAAGCTTCCACACTTTCATCTTCTTAAACGCTCTTCACAGCCAAAATCTCTTCAAGTTCTAAATTTACATTATGAAAATGCACTTACAAACAATTTTTCACAATGATATTGAAAAACCAGCGCAAGGAAAAGAGGTGACTAAACATTGCACAATCGAAAAGATTTCAGTCTGATTGATTTCAATATAGATCCTTGAAAATTGGGGTTATAAGCTTCGAAGCTAATCAATTAAACAAGAATCGTAACATGGTTGTTTCGATATCTGACGAGCTCAAATTGATATGCGAATAAGAGATAGTGCCAAACGCACGAAGATTGCTGTACAGATCGATATACGAGGCTTACCGAGTTGTTGAGCATTGCTGGAAAAAGAGAGAGAGGTCGAAAGAGCCGCCATCGATGGAAGAAGAGAGAAAGAAACTGAGAGATCCTAAGAGCAAGTTGGGAGCTCGAGGACGTTCGATGATATCTAAGGTCTATTGAATTCAGAAATTGTTCGATGATATCTAAGGTCTATTGAATTCAGAAATTGGATAGAATTATAGGGAATTGAAAATTCCATTAAATATCACTGTTATTTAATTATATATATTATTAATTTTTTTAAATATTTATATTATTGAATTAAGGATTTCTATTTATTTTTTTAAAATCCTTTAAATACTATTATTATTTAATAAATCAATTCTCCAATTCTATTATATATATGTGTTATTCAATTTTGTAATAGTTTTGATTTTATTATTATTTGAAAAAAATTTAATAGAATCTTAGATAAAAATTGTAAAGAACCAATTCCTATCATTTTTACTCTGATTTTGATAGAATTGGTTTAAATTCCAACACAACACTTTGAATTACTTAAAAATCAATTATTTTTGAATTCTTGGACGTTCTATCTAATTCAACAATCCAATACCACCCCTAAATTTCAATTAAATTGTAATAATAAACTAAAATAATAACAGAAATAAAATATAAAATAATGAACTAATTTCTTACATTTTTATTTTTTTCCAACTTAGCTTTATACTTCTCTTACTATTAAGAAAAACTGCTTTTTTTTAGATAAAGAAAATTTACACCATTAGAAAGTAGATTTTGCCAATTTATCCATCTAATGATACGAGAGATCAAGAGACTGAGATAGAGACAAAAGAATAGACATGCCTGTTATGATTAACACCAAATTATAATTTTTTTTAAAAACTATAACTTTTTAAATATACGATTAAAGTAATTATGATTAAATTTAATTATTATAATAATAATTATATACAGTTATAGTTATTTAATGATTATAAAATTATTAATATTTTATTTATATAAATAAATAATTATATACTTTGATAAAATATGATATTAAAAATAAATAATAGCTATTTTAATAATAATAGTAATTATTAAATATTAGTAAATATAAAAATATTAAACTTATTTTTATCATGGTTAATTTTAAAATAAAATATAATTACTGGATATTTTTTTTTCACTAGATGTACCATCAACTTTTTATTGGATTATTCCCAAATAAGTGATGTGTTTGCCAAATCAGATGTGATGTACTGAGCCGTTTATTCTCACAACACGTAACACATATGTGACAAAACGAATAAGAAGAGATATATATAAAAGGAGGCCTAAAGCTGAATGAAGAGTGAATGGGGATCCAGGATCAAAATTTACCGCCTTAGGGTAAATCCGATAGAGAGAAAGAATGAGATACACCCAAAGGAGGAGGAGGAAAATACCTCCGACCTCCGCCTCGCCAGAGCTCGCCCCAAGCACCACATTCCAGTGAGACTGAAGGGGAACACTCACTGTTCTCTGGAAAAATGCCTTCTGAGATAAGCGTTCTCCTCACCTTCTATTTCTTATTTTATATTCGTGTGGAGAAAGTTCCTGCCTCACTTTCTTCACAACCTATCTATCATGCTCCTTACCCTCTCTTCCTTATTCTATACCCATAAGAGTTTCAAGCTTTGATTCCATAAAATACTTAGAGAACTTGCAAGAACAATGTTTAAAAGAGATAGTCTTTAATAAACAATAAATGGAGGTTTTTCTTAATTATTTCCTAGATGCTTTTAGAAAGTACAAGTTCAAGAGTTTATATAGTGCTCAAGAGTAAAGATAACAAACGGTAACAACTATTAAAAAAAAAAGCAAAAATCAAGCTAAAAATGTGTTATCTTAGTCTTCTAGCCGTTGGTGAAATAAGGGAGGAAAGATAACATTTATGAGAAGAATCTATGGTATTCAGTGAGGCTTGGACGTTCAGGATCTTCTCCTGGGAATATAGGGTCGAGATTAGGTAATAGATGCACTCTTTGGTAAGACATATAAGTTCCAAAAGGGGAAAGTTCTTCATTGTTGATCTTTCTTTGACTTAGGAGGAAAATGGAACGTGTATTGACTTGTTGTTCTGGTGTTGTGAGACTCTTGTAAGCTCATGTGGATGTGAGGGAATGCGAATATAATGTCTTGGTAAGACATATTATATAAGACTCGGTATTGGAGGCTTATATGATGCGGAAGGGGCGAAATGATGGAGTCAATACGCTTGCTTTTTGGCTCTCTCGTACGGACTGATGGGTGGAGATGGTAGAGCAAGACTTGATGAACAAGGCTTGAGCCGAGGTGGGATCTATCAAGTTGGCTTTAACGCTCTCTCTTGAGGGATCAATGAATGGTAAACGAAGTGGATCGATGGCACCATAAAGAGTATGCAAGACTCTCTGGTACAGCAAACACTCGATGTCTTGGTGAATCACACATGCAAGAACACAAGTAAAGAACAAAGGTAAGCGGCGGCTTGAGCTTTGAAGAAAGTTTGATCACTTTATTGATAATATAGGGTAACCAAAGATACAACGATGAAATGGAGCTTTATTAACAGCTTGTCAGCTAGCCCTAGGGCGGAAAGTATAATGCAAAACGACATAAGAAACAAATACAAAGAAGTAAAATGCAACAAAGGCAAAAGATACAAATAAGGAAAGTTCACCTAAGCTAAAAAGAAAATAAAACTAAGCCGACTTTCTTGATGCCTTAAGAGCTCGAACTGGTAGCTCCTTGGCGTGTTGTGATGCTTAAGAAGCAGTGGGACAAGCCATATTACCTGCACAAATTCTATAAATTGAGAATACCTGTTTTTGGTGCGCATGCAGCTCGGTTGGCGAGTTGATGCATATGTCCGTTCTTGTGCTTGTTTGGACGAGTTCCTTGAAGTTCTTGTCTTCTTGATGATAATTGAAGTTGAATTGGTAGGTGTCTTCAAGAGTTCCTCCACGTTCTTGGCTTAAAACATCTTCTTGCTCCATTAGTGTTATCTCGGCTACTTGACTTGAATCGGTTGTATCTTGGTGCTCAGGTACGCTATTGGCGAGATTCTTGTTGTTTTGAGCTCCATTTCCTGTCAAGTGAATGAACATACCTCTGTTTGTATCTGGCTGATCTTCTTTAAGGCTCATCTTAGCAAAATCCTTAGTGATGTCTATTTCGGGTGCAATGGGGCTCGTTTGGGGGTTTAGCAAAGTTCCCACATTCATGTTTATCAGGAGTGTTTCTACAGCCATGTTCAACCCTTCTCTTAGCCTTCTAGTCTTAGAACGTGTCATGGGGGAGCCGTTAACCGGTGGTATGGCCTTCTCTCCTAGTTCCTCTTCTCTCGGTAAAGTTTTAAGGTCTATGTCCTCATTATTCCCTCCCCCTTCAAGAGGTTTTATCCTCAAAACTAACTCATCTGCATCATAAGGAGATAAATCAGCAACATTAAAGCTATGTGATATGTTAAACTCACCTGGCAGCTCCAAACGGTAAGCATTGTCATTGATCTTCTCTAATATATGAAATGGTCCATCTCCTCTTGGTGCAAGCTTTGAACTCCTTTTCTATGAAAATCGTTCAGGTCTCATGTGTAGCAAAACCCACTCTCCTGGTTCAAATGTTAAAGCCTTTCTCTTCTTGTCAGCTTGCTTCTTATAAGCCTCGGTTTTCTTCAAGATATTTTCTCTAACTTTCTCATGCAGCTTCTTGACAAATTCTCCCTTCCTGAGGCCATCTAAATTAATGTGCTCAACTTGTGGAATTGGCAAGAGATCAAGAAGGGTTAGTGGATTAAAACTGTAAAAAACTTCAAAAGGAGACATCTTAGTAGCTAAATGTATAGCACGGTTGTAAGCAAACTCAATAAAGGGTAAGCAATCAAGCCATGTTTTAAAATTTTACCAAGTGTAACCCTAAGCAAAGTAGAGAGAGTACAGTTTACCACTTCTGTTTGCCCATCTGTTTGTGGATGGCAAGTGGTAGAGAATGACAGCTTAGTCCCAAGCTTTCTCCATAGTGTTCTCCAAAAGTGGCTTAAGAACTTTGTATCTCGGTCAGAGATAATCGTTCTTGGCAAACCATGCAAGCATACCACTTCTTTGAAGAATGTATCGGCGGTTTGAGTGGCATCATTGGTTTTGTCACAAGGAATGAAATGCGCCATTTTTAAAAATCGATCAACAACAACAAAGATAGAATACTTGTGTCGGATCTTGGGCAAACCTAGCACGAAATCCATAGAAAGATCCACCTATCGTGCATTAAGAATATGTAAAGGTAAGTAAAGGCCATGCGGATGTAACATGGACTTGGCTTTATGACAAATAACACATCGTGAGCAATGCTTCTCCACATCTTTCTTG